TCTGATTCTGATTCTGATTCTGAAAACAAATATCACGAATTATGATATTTTCATCCTATGTATACCTCTATCATACAATTTTGTGAAACAAAAGTGAAATAGTAAGTGAAATAAGTCAAAATACAAAAACACGGGACAGAAATCAAGGCATCATGTAGGAATATCTTATCCACTTGAGAAATTAAAATACGAATGAAAATGAACATTATAGCTGTTGGAAAAAAACATACTTTTTTAACGAAAAACTAACCTTTTATTAAACCGTTTGCTTTGAATCTTTCACTTAATTTTGGCACATTATGAAAAACACAATAACATAGAAGGAGGCGGAGCTGCACTCTGGAAAGGTGAGATTTGGACATAAGGAGGCGGAGCTGCACTCTGGAAAGGTGAGATTTGGACATAAGGAGGCGGAGCTGCACTCAAGCTCTGTCTATATCTAAATTCTGGTTTACAGATGAGAAATCCATCCATCCACCCATCTTCTGCTTATCCAGTACAGGGTAAAATTGAATCTGAAGAACATTCCAGAAAACACAGGGCACAAGGCAAGGAACAGCCTAAATGGCATGTCAGCCCCCACCAGATTCTATTGAATTCAAAGTCTGAGGTTTTCTCTTCATTGCTCCTGGGTTTGGCAGAGAACCCTGGTGGGGGGGGGGGGCTTCTCTGAAAGCCTGCAGCTCCCTTGTGAGCAGGATGGGGGCGGATGGCACAGGAATCCTCACAGAAGACCTTGTCTTGTTATGCTTGTCAAATTTAAATAAAGAGACGATGAATAGGGCTGAGTCATGGATCAGGATTAGCGCCAGGAACCATCTTAGTAAGATCATTCTGGAGGGGGGTATCACCCACATTTGTGTACCACTGGGCTCTCCCATTGCTGTTTTTAATGATGCTGGGTGCCTTACAGCACATGTGTGTCTCCATCTCGCCTCCTGAACTGCATTCAGTAATCTGAAAGTTGTGGTCCTTTCCCAAAAAAAAAACACTGTTCATTTTCTTATGAAAATCTGTTTTTTATATGCCTGGTTATATAATAGGTACTTGTGTTTACTTGCCACCGCAAATAAATTATTTGCCATGTAAGTAAATAATATGTCTGTGCAAAGTGGGTTACACAATGTGCAACTTTATCCCCTTTTCAGGGGTAGAAACTACCAAATAGTACCTTACACTGATAACATCCCCCCCCCAACTTGCTACCTCAACTGACCACTTTCGTTTGCACTGTCTACTTAATTTTGCACAATGAATCATCATCATAATTAATATTTCCTGCCACAATCATTCTGTATGAACTTCCTGTCTGCACCATGTGCTACAGACTACCTCATGCATACTGTATTTTGCACAGAAGCATAATTTACAGTTACAGTCATAGTCCAGCTGTAATTTATTTGTAGGTCTTTGTATCGTAGCACTTGGCAGACCAAGAAATCACAGCGATAGAAAGGAGATGAGAAACAGCAGGTCTAAACTAGACAGCCCTTTTATTGTAGCTCTTAAAAGAACCGCACACAAACAACAACCAGACTCCAACACCGAAACTGTCCAAACACAAAGAGGTCTGACACTGGACAGTAAGGCACACACGGTGAGTAATTTATACAATAGTTAAAGATGCGTGAAGATTGGATTGGGTTTACGCAAGACACAGGCAAGGACACTAATGACGATAGGGAACACAAGAAGTGGAAGTTTGTTATTAATAACACAAACAAGGGGGTATTTACATTTTCCCAGCATGCACTGGTGCCACAGTATTTATTGAATTTGCATATGTTTTATTGCCACCTGATTAGATGCAAACTGCATTTCATTGGCTCTGTAACTGTGCAAAGTACAAACTCAGCCTTAGTACTTTTTCTTGGGGTCCTGTTGAAGCGTAAAGTGTCGAGAGGCCTCAGGGTCGGGCAAAAGACAACAAAAAACATCCAAAAAATCTGGGAATTTATTTATTCTTGGGAATTTATTCTTAAGTAAGTAAGTAAGTAAGTAAAGTTTATTTATATAGCGCCTTTCACAGACAAAAAGTCACAAAGCGCTTCACATACAATATAATATACGATTTGACATAGTTTGACATTATGACACACAAGTAAGAACATACATACACAGCACGGACGGTAAAAGCTCTAGTATAAGTAAAAAAAAAAAAAAAAAACCCTAACTATCCTCAGCACACCTCAAATGCTTGCCTAAAAAGAAATGTCTTTAATTGATTTTTAAATGCTTCAGCTGACTCAGCAGCACGCAATGCTAATGGAAGGCTATTCCAAAGTCTAGGCGCCACTGCACGAAAAGCACAGTCACCACGGGTCTTTAGGCAAGTACGTGGCACAACTAATAGACTCTGCTGACCTGACCTTGGTGTAGGACCGGCTGTATAATATTGCAGAAAGCAAAAAATGTATTCAGGGGTTTGACCATGTAAAGCTCTAAGTAAGCACCAAAATTTTGAACCTAATTCTAAACTCAACAGGAAGCCAATGTAGGGAAAATAAAATGGGAGTGATACAGTATGTGCCCTGCGGTTGGCACGAGTTACAAGCCTTGCTGCTGCATTTGAAAAACAGATTTTCATAAGAAAATGAACAGCTCTGACTCCTCCCATTAAGCACACAAGAAACAAAAAAGAAAAATAAAGAAAAAAAAAAACAAAAAACCTCAAAAAGGAACTAATATAAACAACCATCAAACAAAAGAAAACAGGTGCAAAACTCAGACTTCACTGTGGCTTCTAGTCCTCACACAGCTGAGGATCTCCAACTCTTAGAGTACACAGGTAGATGGGCCCAACCAAACAAACTAACCCCTACCACCATTTTATAAACCCTTGTCGCCACCCCTTTCATTCCCCTTCGGCTACAGGGGTAACATCCTACCAAAAGGGACAAAAGGAAAATAAGATGGGGCTACAGAAATAGACATCCCTTCCTATCAACCAGGACACTACAACAGAGGTAGGAACTAACAATTCACAAAAAAAGCAGTAAATAAAAATAAAAGGGTCGGCATGGTTTCCACAACATGTGTGCGCCCATCCGTTTCCACACTTGCTGATCCTGCAAACAAATTATCCTGGGAGAAAAATGCAAAAACAATAAGTCACCATTGGGGTAAGATGATATGTTACTGTCCCCTTAAGACAGCAAGGATGCTTCCATACACTACGGCCTCACAGGTCCAATGGCAGGCCTCTTTGTCACTAAAGTTGAATTCTGTACCATAGACTTGACTATATTTTTTTATTATCTATTTTCAGTTTAAGTCATCAGAATAAATAATGCTGAAAATAATTTCCAAATCACAGTATTTATTAAATAAAAATAAAAATAAAATATATAACACTAAATATACTTTAGTGTTAAACTCAACAAAGAAAATTTCTTAGCTTCTTGTAAAAAAAAAAAAAAGTGTGAAAAGATTTTCTCTCACTCCACAAAATGCCCCCTGCTAGTCTCGCACTTGTCACGTCCAGCATCGCCCTGCTTGTCTGATCCCGGCATTTCCCTCGGGCTTGACTGCGAACTAGTCGCACCTTAGGCTTGTTAGTATTGCTTCTTGTTCCTGTCCTCTTGTTAACCAGCCACAGCTGCCTTGCGTTTCTTCCTTTGTTAGCCTCGTATGAAAGTGTCTCCTAGTCCTGTGCTCCCTGATTGGTCATTGTTCTGTCCATCTATGCTGCTTGATTGGTCATTGTTCTGTCCGTCTGTGCTGCCTGATTGGTCATTGTTCTGTCTGTCAGTGCTGCCTGATTGGTCATTGTTCTGTCCGTCTCTGCTGCCTGATTGGTCATTGTTCTGTCCGTCTCTGCTGCCTGATTGGTCATTGTTCTGTCCGTCTGTGCTGCCTGATTGGTCATTGTTCTGCCCGTCTGTGCTGCCTGATTGGTCATTGTTATGTCCATCTGT